CACAAAGCAGAAAAGAATTACCTAGATTTTGCAGTCAGTGGGAAAATAATAGTACTTAATGTTTATTATGTTTGAAGTCAAAAATCACACGACACCAGGTTATAGTCCAACAGGTTTATTTGAAATCACAAGCTTTCAGAGTGCTGCCCCTTCATCAGGTGCAGTGAGAGGAGAGCATACAAACACAGAGTTTTTGGCAGAGAGATGAAGGGCAGAGAGATCAAAAGATCATACAACTGGTGTGAGTGGAGCGAGCAAACCTAAAACAGCTGGCTGGCTGCCTTGTGTTGAATCTTTAATCATTCATACATTCCTGCTTTCTAGAAATTGCAGAAGCAGGATACGGAGAACTCTGTTAGTTTCGATTGATTAAGATGCAAATTCCAGAACCTGTTTCAAGTCACTGCCCTGATTCCAGGTTAAAACTCTGAGACAGACTCAGGACAAGGCCTCACACCTACAATTCAGTGTCTGACCTAGGAAGTCACCTATTGTATATTCTTACCGCTCTGCCTGTTTGAAGTTTGGAAAGTGAGGCACGCGCTGATGAAACCTTTAATTATCTTGGGGCAGTGGCTTGGGACAAATTCTGAATTTGCATCTTAATCAATCAATCAAAACTAACAGAGTTCTCCATATCCAGCTTCTGCAATTTCTAGAATGCAGGAACGTATGAATGATTAAATTTTCAACAGGAGGCAGCCAGCCAGCCATTCTAGGTTTGTTCACTCCACTTGCATCAGTTGTATGATCCTTTGATCTCTCTGCCCTTCATCTCTCTGCCTATAAACTCTATGTTTGTGTGCTGTCCTTACACTGCACTTGACAAAGGGGCTACGCTCTGAAAGCTTGTGATTTCAAATAAACCTGTTGGACTGTAACCTGGTGTCATGTGATTTTTGACTTTATCCACCCTAATCCAACACCAGCACCTCCACATTACGCTTGAAGTAATTCACAAACATTTTATGGCTTTGAACAACAGTTTACAGTCACCAGAAATCCTGGTCAATACAGCGCACACTACAGGGAATCTGGGACCTGGACAAACAGAGCAAACAATAGGTTGCCTCTTCAATCAAATTGAAAAAACTGAAATATGCAGAGCATAAACCAGGAGGAATAGATTAGATTATCTAATTCAAACTACAATTAGGTGGAGGAACTGAAATCAGAAAAAAAGTAAAATTTGGATTAAAAGATAATAAAAATGGAGACAAAATAAATATTTTAAATCTTTAGTAGTAATTACATTTTGACAGAATGACACTCCTTATTTGTTAAATTAAAATTTGCAGTCATTAGCTCTATTTAAGAAAAGAAATCACTGCCAACTGCATGCATTAGCTCTAACTTTTGTTGGCATGTTTAATAGGTAGCCAATGGATAAACACCAGAACTTCCTGGCATGTATGTATTTTAATCAACCTGGTCAGACATGTTATGGTACACCTGGATCTGAACCCAGCTGTTTTGGCTCAGAGGTTAGGGAGATTACCACAAACCACAAGACCCTAAAACAAAAGGACTTGGACACTCAGAGTATGAGTCTGATGCTCTACCAACTGAGCTATCTTTATATATTCTTAAACTGACTCTAATAATGTGGTACGAGTGTAATTAAGCTTGTTGACGGACGGGGCAAACTTAACAGCAACTTCCAGATTTATGCACTTTAATACATTCCAAACACCAGAGGTTGAAATTCCACTTACAGCACACTATCAGTGATCACTGCTCACCTCGCCATTATTTCTGTTTTAATGGCTGTGAGATCATCTTTAATCTTTATTAACCCATGCAAACAGAATGATGCTGATCATCTGTGCATATTCGGGCAGGGGGCAGTACAGAGATTTACACAGTGCTAAGAGCTGTTTTTGTATCTAAAGCCTCCGTTATATATCCATTGTTTCAGTGACTGAAAAGATACCACCCAATTGTTAACTTCCTGTGACAAAACTTGTATCAGAAGTTCGGGTATGCCAGTCTCTACAAAATATAAAATAAGCTTTGTATTTGAATTCCAAATGAAAATTCACGTTGTGTGAAGCTTTGCACTGACTGCACTAAATCAGAGACAAGTACAAGTACAAGTACAAGTGGAAATAGGGGCAAGATCTTTTGCAAACAGTAGGTTGTATCAAGGTGAGTTCAAAACAAATGCATTATAATTAGTATCTAAATGTATGGCTCCATTCTACAAATGGTATTTTTAAACCAATATACCAAGGAAGAATGGACATGTACCGCATTAGTGTGACCTTAGGAAAGTTATAAAATATAGTTGTGAAACATCAGGTTTCTTAACTCATTGGGAATGAATGTGCTCTTTGGACTATTATTTCCCCTTTAATCCTCTTAAAATAGTAGCAGCTAACGACACAGTGTGAGCATTCTCACCTCAGAGTCACAAGGCTCAAATATCATACAAGGGAACTGAGCAGCAAATCAAGGTTGGCACTTCAGTGCAGTGTGGAGTAAGCACTACATTATTGAAAGTATGTGTTCAAATGAGACATTAAACGGAAGCCTGTCTGCCCTTTCCAGTGGACATAAAAGACCTTAAAGTGACTATTTCAAAGAAGAATAAGAAAGTTCTCCCTGGTGTTGTGACCAATATTTATCCCTCCAAGAAAATAAAATCATATTAACTGGTCATTATCACATGATATTTGAAAGGCATTGCTGACTGAAATCTGGTTGGCATATTTCTAGGACAATGGTGACTACATATCAAAAATACTTAATTGGCCACAAGTGCTTTGAGACATCCAGAGGTCATCAAAGGTGCTTAGAAATTTAATTCTTTCTTCCTACGACAAACACTTGGTGCAATGCAGTAACTGGAGCAACTGCACACATACAAGAAAAAAGTAGTACTGTCATTCTATTACCAGTTTGCAATAATTAACAGTTTGGTGAATGGGAACCATAAACAATACCAGCTGTTTACAGTGAGAGAAATCATGTAAATCCATTCATTAGATTTTCCCACTATGAAATGTACAGGTGAAATGCAGAGGGAAGAAAGCAGCACAATCATAAGAGTACTGAAATATCTGCTGACATTCCTTCTGCAGCTGCAGGCTCACTCCAAGACTGAACATCTCCAATTTCATCACATCCCAGAAAAAAACCCTATTTTCAAGTATTAACAAAATATTATTCATAACTATTCTCCCTGATGACAAAGTGGGAGAAACACTCATATTCTTTGGCACCGAGTCACACAGGTTAAGCACCTGAGGACGCATTATGCTGTGAATTGTCTGCAACTGACAGCAACAATAAAAAGGTGGTGTGTGATCATGGATGGGAAAATCTGAGGTTGATTTTTCTACCCCCATGTGGAGATCTCACATTGTAAACAAAAATCCTGCAGTTTGGATTCCAAACAGCAAATCAGGTTCAGTCACAAGGACATTATATAAACAAATAATAAAAAAACTTCAATCTATTGAATATTCTGTGCATGGCGAAACAAATAGCTAAAATTTTGACTCACCCCTACACCAGCACATGTGAACAAATATTTGGCATGTGTGCTTCATAATATCACTGTATCAGGGATAAGTGAGCGTCGATGAGCTAGAATTCAGTTTTAAGAAATCCAATGTGAATGGGAACCCAAGCCCAAAGAAATCTCAGGAATAATTCAATCAGAATTCAATCAGTGGTGGATAAGTACATCATTAGATATTAGATTTAAAAGCTTTTAGATTTTAGTTCTTACTGTGTTGCTCATTAGATTTATTCCTGGGATCAGAGGGTTGGCCTTTGAGGAGAGATTGCATATAATGGACCTATATTCTCTGAACTTTTGAAAAATAAGAGATGACCTCCTTGATGCCGTCAAGACTCTGAGCAGAATTGAAAGGGTAAATGCGAAGAAATATTTTTCCCTAGCTGCAGCTTCTCATGAAAGGCTGAGACACTTGGGACTGAGATGGGAAGAAAATTATTTACTTAATGAATTTTTGGGATTTTGCAAACTCACAGGAATGTAAATGCTCTCTTGTTGGATATATTCAATGCTGCGATCAACAGATTTTTGCACTCTAAAGAAAGGAAGGGATTTTCGGATTGAGGAGAAAATTGAAGTCGAGTTTGAGGTTAGCCATAGTCTTACAATATGGCAGAGCAAACTCATGGAGCTATATGGCCTGCTGTTGCATTCTTGTTGTCTAACAATGCATCATATCTAAATAACTAGAGCTAGATCAGGGAGAGATCAAAAACTCATTTGGACTTCTGATGACTATCCAATCATTGCTGTAGGAAAGCATTCACGCGTGGACACCAGGTTAAAGGTTAGGGTGTAGTTTTGTTGTAACAACCTAAGAGGGATTGGCTGATGACACTCACAGCCTTGGTTCATAAGTGAAATGAATGGTTGAGTTATAGAGAACAGAAGCAAACCCCAGCAAGATTACATACTAATTGAAGACCAGGGTAGAGAAGGCAAGAAAACTAAGGGAAAGAAAGTTTTACATGTAAGAAATTAATGCAACATAGTTGTAAACCCATGAGCTCAGCTGTACACTTGTACTGTCCCACATCTTCTTACATCATGGTTAACTAAAAACCATATCTCAGTAGCAATGAAATAATTTTTACCGATTACACACCATAATGCTTTTAAATTTCATGCAAACCACTTGCTTGCACAAAAAGTAAAATAGAGTGCACGTTTAATAATGTAGAATAAAACAGAAACACTCACTCAAAATAGTAAACGCTTCCCCCCCACACAAACTGCATTGGATCTACTCAAACCATAAGTCTCACATCATATTCTTCTGTCATTGCTGATCTATCTTGGATTTAATTTTTTGAAAGGGATGACTTTCAGAGAGCATATTATTTAATACAGTATTTATTTTAATTAACTCAGATGTACAAGTCAAAGGCAGTAGAAATATGCACAGAAAACACATAATCTTGATAATTTTGTTCATAAATAATAAAAAAGTTTTAAAATCTACCTCAGCCTCCAGAAGAAAACAAAATGTCTCTGGGAATGGATTCGAAGCAGCCTTAAGCCTGAATGGATACAAATCAATTTTCTGTGTGCTCAATGATACATTACTGATATATTCTGTACACTTTCAGAAGTTATGTGAAAATAACCAGTCAGGACATAGCTGAATCAGACCTGGAAATTCATCTTTAATTTATCATTAAGTAGACGGGGAAGGTAAAGTATGTGTTACATGAGCAGACTGCATAGGGCAAGAAATTATGTTTTTAAATAACAATAATTTATAAACCAAATTATAGGCATGTTTATGACAGTAAACAAGCAAAAGAATAAATAGATCAGAAGTTGAAACATTTTATGCTAACGAGTAGGGATGTCACAATATAAGTAATGATAGTTACACTATCCATTTTTAAACTAATTATATTTTGAGTAAGGAAAAATAGAATAATTCTAATCAATGCTACTTTGTTTCAGAAATATAATCTGTCTTTCACAGTTGCCTTAACCATTTATTCATTCATATCTTTACAAGATTTTGGATTACTCTGGTGAAAATCATCCTCAATTGAGGAAATTAAATGAATGCACTATGATTATGGGGGAGTTTATGTATCACAATATGTTGGCCTATTGAAGTATTATGACATCCCTAAACAGGAAATGAACAAGCCTGTCAACATAAATGTTTTCAAAACGATATCGTTGAAAAGTGACAGTCATAATACCATAGTCATTCAAACTTGAATGTTCTGGACCTGATGGTACACAGGCTGCAGAGCCTCTTTTCACTTTAAATATCATATACCAGTTAAGGCAATTTGTGCTGAATTTTAAAGTGCATTTTTATGATTGGTTAAAGTTACACTTAACAGTACTTAGGAATTAACACTTTTCTCAACTTCAGCAACCAGTAATTTCACATTAAACAAGGTGTTAACCAGATTTGTGCACAGCTCAACCACAACAGAGAAGCCTGGACCTCATCAGGTGCTAATTCTACTTTTTCAATATTCAATTGGTGAACCAAACACCTGAAGTGAATAAAAAAGGATGTTCTTATTATATCCTCTTAAGTGCTCACATGGCACGATGGTAGGGTCCCTACCTCTGAGCCAGGAGACCCAGGTTCAAGTCCCACCTGTTCCAGAGCCATGTAATAACAACACTGAACAGGTTAATTATAAAATATCTGCTATGTCCTCTTACCTACAATGTATCTGACTAAGACTGACGATTGATCCTAACTATATTTAAAATATAAGCTCCATCATTATTGCTGAGCTGAATTGAAATGTGCTCCTCAGCAATGTCTTGTATGGCATTGCAGCCACCATTTTGTCTCCTATTCTTTCTATTTTGTTCATTTTCTGGAGCAAGTAAACCAAATTCTAACTCAGAAATACATAACACATGATGTTTCTGCAATGCATATTATTCAGTGCAAACCACTTAAACTGGTCAAAGTCACTTCACAAAACATTACACCAAGACAGCTATTCTTGGTATATTGAATTGCTTCATTTTCACTACAATTATTAATAGTTCTATTTATAAAAAGAGAAGAGGCTCTTTTATGACTCTGTTCACAACCAGCCACCTTGTGTACATTCAGGCCTATGTACAACATGTTTGCAAAGCTGGTCCGGGATTAAGAATATCTACCAAAACTGTATAACCAGAAAGACATGCCTATATTACATCAGAATTTCTCTCTATCCATATTTTGTACTCAGCTGTAATGGTTATAAATAAACATCACCAAACCCTAACCCATCCCACTGGTTTTCAGAACCTTCATTATCAAAAGAAAAACTGCATGCAGCACGCTTCTCAGTCACATGCAGATAAATGTTTAACTAAGGCGCAATTTCCCAAAAACTAGAAACTGAATTGCTAAAGTAAGCATGAGCTGCCAGAAGCCACATAGATTTTATCAAAGCAGTTCTGCAGCATTGGATCATTTATTGCTGTTTATTAAGTGCAGTATTAAAGTCATTTAACACAGGGGAAAGTTTTCTCCTACCTCAAGGTTTATGTGATGCAGAAGGATCAGGATAACCAGAGTATGGGTGGTTTACATATTCTACATGAAGAAGTTAATGCCCTGTTGCCAACAGCAATTGCAGTTCATCAAGAGTTATTCAACATTTCTCTGTGTAATTTTGATTTATACCCGCAGTTCAGCTGTATCAGCTAATTCAGTCATGTAGTCTTGGAGCAGTCTCATTCTTTTTATCTTCTTGAAATCTTTGTATCTTCTGCATTCCTTAAATTTCCAAGAAATTACAATCAATAATCACGTGCCATCCATCTCTTGGGGGGATTTAATTGTGTCTTAATCTACCAGTCTCCATCTGCATTATCCTAGGGCAACAAATTGTCTCTTGCAATAAACACATCCATATCCAGGCAAATTTCTCTGTCTGAAGACTTGCATGACGTGAATTTCAAATTAAAAAAGTAACTCTTGGTTCTCCAGGTCTTTGGGAAATTGTCATATAATCCTGCAAATATTGATGTAATAGTCTCAAGATATCTTTGAGAGCTTCTGGCCTTCAGTATTAAGTTAGAGTGAGTTATAACAAGTTTCTACACAACAATTAGGTTAAGGACAATGATAGGTTAAACAAGTGATTGCGGCAACATACTTGTATGTAACCACTGAAACTGACTCGTAGATATGGCTCCAGAACAGATGATAAGAAATTATATTGTGGAAGAACCTGCATTCCAACAGCTGTTCATGTGATTTCAGATTACCAAAAAAAAAGAATTCCCTCAGCCTGGGGCCACAAAATTAAACTGTCCTTTTCATCAATCTAAACTGAGGTAGTCTGCTGAGGAAACACCGCACTTTTCTTTTTGGTACATTGCAGCCTTTGCAGGTGGGTAAAAGAAAAGATGAAATTAACATTCTTCAGTGTTTCTTTCAGTTCAACACCTTAATGCCTCATGATGATGCCATTAACATCTGTGCATTCCTTAAAGATTCTGAATGCTGATCTCATTGTTGAAAAGTTGTTGGTCTTAAATTGATAAGGACCTTAGAGAATTTACAACAGGATTCCCATGTGGTGCTCATTCAGCTGTAATGTCCAGTTGCCAAGTTATTCTGTAATTCTCCCAACTCTCTTGCTAGCTGATTTAAGTCCTGCATCTTCAGAAATATGTGTAAATATCTGGTCTGCCTTTTCCATCATCTTTTTTACTGTGATAACTGTCCATTGACTCTTGCACACAAAGATTTTGTTGGACATTAGTGAGGTTGGTCTATTTTCAAGGTGTCACAGATTTCTGTGGACATCAGTTTATTCAGCCATTCTTTGTACATGGAGGCACTTCCAGCAATCTGGGAGCGTAAGGATTTAAAAGGCACTAGCAACTAACTAAGTCATTTGCTGAGTTTCTGCAATAAAGTAGAGGGAAGCTCAAAAGAAAAATATTGTCTCAGTCAGGATGGATTTGGAAATGAATTGCAAATTAGGTGCATAATTTACATATTCTTTACATTTACATTCTGCTAAAATGCATGAAAGGCATGCTTTCTTTTCTGTTTGATTAGTTGCGTTTAAAACTAAATTTATAATATATAAGTATGTACATTACCTAGCCTGCCTCCCTTTGTTCAAGAGATTTCCCAGAAGGAACTAGGTTTTGCTGTGTTATATTTTCAGGATTGTCAGGACACGAACCAACTCATTTCCCTGATATTCTGCAGGAAAATCATCAGGTCCCTCAACATCATATAGCAACAGTTCAAAGCTGTTTTGTTTTCTGTAACCTGATATCATGCATAAGTTATAGTGGGTTACATATTAAGTTGTTCAAAAAGGCCATAATGTTGAGTAGTTAAAACATGCTATGATCTAAAGTTACTCTATCCCATACGAGTTAACATTCAGGCCATGAGTGCTTCAGAAGTATTAAATTAAATAATAAGCCATTGCACTTTTGGTAAGAGCAAATGAGAACTAACTCTCCAGATTATAATTTAAAACGCAAACTTGTTTGCTGTTATTTGAGGTAATGTCCCAGGCATGCCACAATCAAAGTGAATGATGAATATCAAAGCATGCTGTTGTTATTTTAGGGATTTTCTTTGTGATTGATGATTCTCGCATTAAATCGGGGACGGGGGAATTTACATTCGGTCCTAGAAGCAGATGAGTTGCAGTTTCTGCAAGTTTGCAGCACCGCTGGCATTTTAAGCATTCGCTATTTGATTATAAAGTGGAGACAAATGCAATCGCTTGTTTTATTTTTTCCTCTGATGTAGGGCGTCACATCACTTCTCGGAATGAAATGATCATCAGTGGATCGAAAACTGCACGTTTGCAACTTTGACCAGAACTCACGAATCTGGCGTATTTGGTTGTTTTCGTTTGGATGCACGGTGCAGCTTGCAAAATTGTACCTTAACACATGCATTGGTATTTGTAAATGAACTGAGAGAGAGAAAAATAAACTTCCATTCGAGGTTGGCGAGCAGGTATAAGTCCAAGTTTCAAAGTCTGTACCTAAGGACGCTCTCATGAACGGATCTGGAGAAGATTTCTCCCTCGTTACCCAGTTGGGAGAAAAAAAGCCATTTAAAAATAAATGAAATTATACCTTCCACGTAATTCTGAAAGCTTATTTTGCTGAGCATAACGGCAATGCCACAACGCATTAACGAGGTCAACAAGGCAAAATACAAAGGGTCAGTAACAGTGTCTAGAAAGCGCGGCTCCCGGGTCACTGAGCCCGCAGCTGTTTAAACATCAGTTAGCAGTTTGCTTTTGTTCACACAGTTTTGGTTTGCTACAGTGCAGTTGCCAGTTCTGAGATTTGCTTCTCTGAAATTGTCTATGCTGTTGTTCACATCTTCCTCGATCTCCATGTAGTCGGACTTGCTGATGGTGGACGAGCTGCGGCTTCGTAAGTCACTGTCCGAGGCGATGTTCGGGCAGCTAACGTGCAGGTACTGAGCCTGCTCCTCTCCCTCCGTCTCCCGGTGGTAGAAGTAGTTGAAGTTGGAGACGATGACGGGCACGGGCAGGGCGATGGTCAGGACGCCGGCGATGGCACACAACGACCCCACGATCTTGCCGCCGATGGTGATGGGGTACATGTCCCCGTATCCCACCGTGGTCATGGAGACCACCGCCCACCAGAAGGAATCCGGGATGCTGTTGAAGTGAGAGTCCGGGTCGTCCGCCTCGGCGAAGAACACGGCGCTGGAGAAGAGGATGACCCCGATGAAGAGGAAGAAGATGAGCAGGCCCAGCTCCCTCATGCTGGCCTTGAGGGTCTGGCCCAGGATCTGCAGGCCCTTCGAGTGGCGGGAGAGCTTGAAGATGCGGAAGACCCGCACCAGGCGGATGACCCTGAGGATGGCCAGGGACGTGGCCTGCTCGCCGCTCACATTACGCTCCTCCTCCTCGGCCAGCTCGGTGCCCAGGGTGATGAAGTACGGGATGATGGCCACAATGTCGATGAAGTTCATGATGTTCTTGAAGAACTCCGTCTTGCTGGGGCAGGCGAAGAAGCGGACCAGGAGCTCGAAGGAGAACCAGATGATGCATAGGGTCTCTACGATGAAGAAGGGGTCGTTGAGGATGTTGGATTTGTACGGGATGGTGGTGTTGCCCACTTGCATGGTCCTCTTCCTGTCGTCCTTGAGCTGGGGCAGGGTCTCCAGGCAGAAGATGACAATGGAGATGAGGATGACCATGACCGAGACAATGGCGATGCCCCGGGCAGGCCCGGAGCTCTCCGGATGCTCGAAGAGAAGCCAGACCTGGCGTTGGTACTCATTCTCGGGCAGGGGTCTCTCCTCCTCCCGAATGAAGCCCTCGTCCTCCCGGAACTTCTCCATCGCCTCCTCGCCCAGCTCGTAGAACTTGATCTCCTCGGAGAACATCTCGAGGGGTACATTGACCGGTCTCCGGAGGCGTCCCCCGGATTGGTAATAGTACAGGATGGCGTCGAAGCTAGGCCGGTTGCGGTCGAAGAAATACTCGTTCCGCAGGGGGTCGAAGTAGCGCATTCTCTTTTTGGGGTTGCCTAGCAGGGTGTTGGGGAACTGGGCCAGGGTCTTCAGCTGGGTCTCGAAGCGGAGGCCCGAGATATTGATGACCACCCGCTCGCAGCACTCATGGTCATCGTTGTCCGGAGGGTAGCTGTCCTGAGGGTGGCCGGGCAAAGCCGACGCTTCGTCCATGTTGTCTCCTGCCAGCACTGTCATTCTTGGCGGGAAAGGGGGCCTTTCAGGAGGGAGCGGGGTGAGGGAATGGGGCAGATCGAGGGGCTTCCGAATCACTGGCTCTCAGTCTCCCCACCCCCGGGAGGACATTCGGAGGCAGAGTTGGTGGGGAGAGCTTTGACCGGGTTTGTTGGGTTGGTGAGGGAGGGAGGAGGACTAGGGGGAAAGGGGGGGGGGGGGGGTGGTTTGAAGGGCTCCGGGCCACTAATGGACAACTCGGGGCTTTCGAGCTGACTCAAGCATCTCAGGGCTCGGCGTTTCCACACGGATCCAAACTAATCTCGGGCAACTCAGGCCAATTGCCGTGCCGCTGTCTGGCCCACGCCCACCTTTTTGTTTCGGGACCAAGGTGCTGCAGAATACAAAGGTTAGCATCAAACAACATCCAGCTCTATGCAAAGGGGAGGGGTTGGGGCGGTTAACAAAAGCAGAATAAAAGTTCAGGGTTGAAACTTGATGGGGGGGGGGGGGGGGGGGTGATGAAAACAGCCCCTGTCCCCTCCCGACGGTGAGTGTGGCTCATGCACCGCGTTGGGTCCTACATCATCCCAGGCACACACACTGTGTACATCTAAAGCAGTTTTCAGCTAAAATCCAGCTGCAATACTGGGAGGAGGAGGACTGGGCACTGCAACTGCCAGGAGGTTGGGGAGCGAGGGGAAATCTAGGAGCAAAGTGAAAGAAAAATCATAACAATAATTTACAAAAAAGAAACAGCCAGCCTTACCTGCTGAATGGAGGAGGACAGAATGAAGAGTGCAGGAATGCGGCCCGGCCCTCCGAGCGATGCAAAAGCCCTTCCTCCTGCGTACTCCTGCCTCCTTAATATAGATATCGCTTTACAGCTTTGTGTGTATGAGATCTGCTGAAATATTAATAGCCTATATTATACTGTACTGACACCATTTACAAGTCATTTGTTCCTGACGATTGTTACAGCGGGCCGGCGGCTACGTAAAAATTAAAGGGCTGCAAAATTCGCCCGGCGCTATATTAATTACACCACCAGTTAAAGAGAGAGAAAAACACAAACTATGCACATGGACTTTGTGACAGGTAGCGGGAAAGCAATCTTCTGGTACAGCATCCTGGCGTCTTGCTGGGGGATCATGTGGTGCAGAGTAGAAGACTAAATGCATTAAAAGTCAAACGAGCTGGACATCCCTTAGCATTGCAGTATCATCAAAAATAAGAAGTGCTTCATGGAGTGTAGTAGGCAGGGAAACCGTTCTCCGGACAGCAACGTTAACAGCTGCAGCGAAAACAGCTCCCACATTGCAGACAAAACAGCCGCTTCCTTTTGTTTTTGTTTTTAATAAAAATAATAGAAGCTCTGTTAATTCTCAAATAACAAATCGAGACATTTTAGACGCAGTGCAGGCAGCCCCGGTAAGATCCTCATTGCACACGACGCCGTGCACACTCGCAAAAAAAAATCCGCATCATAAACATCAAAACTGCTGCATCATTTGGTTAGATTTTACGACAATGTTCCTTTGACTGCAGCACACTGTGGCAAACCTCCGAATACAATCACTGCAGTTTGCCAGTTCGGCCCCGCAGGTACAGCGTTACTGCTCCAGGAGAAACGAGGACCCCTAGACTGTACCAACATGTACATATATATAAACACCGCCGAACAAGAGCTCTCATCAATTGTAAACAGATACAGGCATACACTGTGCTTGAATACTTAATAGACCAATGCCGCACCCTTTATTTTGCAAGGTTAGCAAATCATCTGATCCCATCACCCATTATTTTAAAACTATAACAGAATTTTATATCCTGGACATCATGTTGATAACTTGCACAGCGCACTGATCGTATTAAGTATTGACAACTCAAGAAATACTCATTTGATACAGGATATTACAATTAAACAAGGCACCCACTTCCCGTTTATCTTATGATCCCACAATTTTACCTAAACTTTAAAGAACACTCAGTCAGCTTCGCGCTGACAAAGGTAAACAGCAGATTGCTGCGTTTTGCTGGCCTCCCGTTTTGGGAAACACAAAACGATTATCTGCATAAACCTCAAATGGTTTTGGAAATCGATCGAAGCTGAGAACATCCTGACAATTAACAGAGAAAGGACCGCCACTGCTCTCAAGAGTTAATGCTTCGAGTTATGTAATGTGCCTCTTGCCAAGTCACGTTAGCAGAAGGCACTGTGCACGGTCCCGTTTTGTTCCGCGTCGGTATTCTCAACCTCGAGCAACACACATCACACCTGTTTAATTTGATTATTCTCCACATAGCACTATTTACCTGCAAATTTGTTCTCACCGCTGATAAAAGCTATGAACTGTGGAGAAACAAATGGGAAATAGTTGCTGTAACTCGGAATATGAATTTGATGGTCAGCCGTGGCGTGTATTTGTGCAGAAAGTTTATATGGCCATATTATGCTGACTCCAAATATTCCCGATAGGGAGATCAAAATTAAACGCTACCAGGGCCACATGCGCAAGGGCTTTGGCCAAACGTGATGAGACTCAGGTTGTCAATCTTCCAGATTGTCCTGGAGACCCCAGGCACTACAGAGAGAAAAAAAATCACCGAACACTGCTGTATATATCCCAGGAGAAACATCGTGGGGACATTGAAAGCGTTATTCCCCTTTGAACATATTATCATAACATATCTATAGTGATCCAAAACATAGCTTTGCTAGTCCCAATACAATGTCTCCTTACCTTGCATAATCATTCTTTCTGTATTTAATCTCCCCTGCCATTCATAAGAACTAGGAGCAGGAGTAGGTAGTTCAGCCCAACAAGCCTTCTCTGTCATTCAATACAATCCTGATTGATATCATCTCGGCATCACCTCCTCTTTCTTGCCTGCTCACCATAACTCTTTAACCCAATACTAAATAGTCATCTGTATATTGCCTCCTTAATTTTACTCAATGTCCCAGCATCCACCACACTGTTGGGTTACTGAATTCCACAGATTCATGACCCTTTGAGGGAAATAATTTCTCCTCAATTCTTTTAAATCTGCTACCCTATATCCTAGAACTATGAACTGTAGTTGCCCCACATGAAGAAACATCTTTTCCATATTTACTTTGTAAATCTCCTTTAGCATCTTATATACCTCAGTTAGATCCCCTCCCATGCTTCTAAACTGCAGAGACTATCGGCCTAAAATGTTCAATCTCTCTTCACAAGACAAACCCCTTATGTGGACAACTTCTTACTCTGAAATTATGCCTTCTGGTTCTAAACCGTCCTACAAGGGGAAATAATTCCTCACATCTCTTCTGTCAAGCCTCCTAAGAATCTTACATGTTTCAATAAACTACAATGATTACAAGCCCAACTTACTCAATTTCTCCAAATTAAAAATCCCTCTATATCCAGAATCAACCTCGTGAAACTTTGCTGGATTGCCTCCAATGCAAGTATGTCTTTCCCAAACAAGGAGATCAAAACTGTTCACAGTATGCCATATGTGATCTGACTGTGCCTTGTATACGTTAACAAGACCTCCCTAATTTATACTCCATTCCATTTGAAATAAAGGTCAACAGTCCATTTGCCTTTCTGATAAACCACTAAATTTGGACATCAGCTTTTCACGCACAAGGACCCCTAAATTCCCTTGTACCGAGCTTTCTGCAGTCTTGTTCCATTTAAATAAAAGCTTTTCTTATCTTCCCACCAAAATGCATAACCTCCCATTCCTCCCCATTATATTCCATCTGCCATATTTTGTCCGCTCATGTAACAAAGAACAAAGAAAATTACAGCACAGGAACAGGTCCTTCGGCCCTCCAAGCCTGTGCCGATCCAGATCCTCTATCTAAACCTGTCGCCTATTTTCCAAGGATCTGTATCCCTCTGCTCCCAGCCCATTCATGTATCTGTCCAGATACATCTTAAATGACACCATCATGCCCGCCTCTACCACCTCCGCTGGCAACACGTTCCAGGCACCCACCACCCTCTGCGTAAACTCCCTTAAACTTTTCCCCACTCACCTTGAAATCGTGACCCCTAGTAATTGAGTGCCCTACTCTGGGAAAAAGCTTCTTGCTATCCACCCTGTCTATACCTCTCATGATTTTGTAGACCTCAATCAGGTCCCCCTTCAACCTTCATCTTTCTAATGTAAATAATCCTAATCTACTCAACCTCTCTTCATAGATAGCGCCCTCCATACCAGGCAACATCCTGGTGAACCTCCTCTGCACCCTCTCCAAAGCATCCACATCCTTTTGGTAATGTGGCGACCAGAATACGCAGTATTCCAAATGTGGTCGAACCAAAGTCCTATACAACTGTAACATGACCTGCCAACTATTTCAGAGGTTTCCCATAACCCTACACGTTCCTATTTAAATAATCGACCAATGCATCCCTGAATACCTCAATTGAACATGCATTCATTATATTTCCAGGCAATGCATTCCAAACCCTAACTAATTGCTGTGAAAAAGTTTTTCTCACCTTGTATCCTGTAAGCTACACTTGCCTCCATGTATTCTGCGATCATTTCAACCAGACTGTTCACAGCCTTGACTTGCTGTTTAACACAGCTGAATTTCAGACTCCAAATTGTCTCTATCATAAAACTGCCTACTAGGGCCATTTTACTGACTTCCCTGTATGGGAAAACTTCACCTTCACTAACACTGAATGTTTTATTTCAATACTCTTTGTGTTCTCCATAGACTACATGGATTCATGACAGGTAGGTCATGCCTGACAAACACCACTGAATTTTTTGAAGAGCTGACTAAAATACTGGACAGGGGAATGTGTACGGATGTTGTTTATATGGACACCCAGAAGGCACTTGATGAAGTCTCACATAAGAGACTGTTAACTAAGGTAGAAGCCCATGGAATTAAAGGCAAATTAGCAGGTGACAGAAATAGGGATAATTGATAGGTACTCAAAATGGCAGAATGTGACCAGTGATATTTCACAAGGATCTGTGTTAGATACTTAATTATTCACATTAGT